AGCTGGTTGTTATTCATATCTCAGTATCTAATCCTTTTTAGAAATGAACTAATCCATTGCTTTAAAAATATCCTGTGGCATTGCAAGGCTATAATCTCGGTATTAAATGGCATTAAAGCCAGAAGAGCTGATGCTTTTACTAAGGCAAAAGAAAACATCTATTTGTTCTCTAAAAATAACCGAAAGAAGCAGAGCACGCCAGGAGGGTCCCCCTGTTGTGGCTGAAACCTGGGGAAGGGCTGAGGTCTGCCAGAGCCTGTCCTTGTCCCTGGGTGGGTGGGCAGCGCAGTTGGGGGTGTGATGGCAGCTGGTGCCACATGTCCCGTTGACATTGACCCCTTTGCTCGGGGACCTGGAGCTGCCAGCGCAGAGCGAGGCGGTGGCGATGCCCGAAGCAGCGTGAGCAGAGCTGGTGGGATGCTCCCACCTCTCCCCACGGGCTGTGGGACCCACTCAAACACACCCACACTCCTGGTCTCCCCCTTTTAGCATCTTTCTTCTGAGACCGCCAAGCAGCTTTGCTCATTTCAATCCATTAAAACTAGAAAAGCTTTTTAATAAATTCCCCGTCAGCCTGGAATTAGTAGATGTGGGCCAATTAGACACATTAATTAGGCGCTGGTTTAAACACAGATGAGGTTTGACTTTGTTTACCAACCTCGGAAGGAAGCAGCTTCTCAAAGTTCACCTCCAAAGGACTGAACAAACAAACAAGATATGTTCGTTCCCGGTCACAGGCACCTTACAACAGGAACACATCACTTCCACTTCTATTTTATTTTCAGAGCTCTTGCTTTCTCTCTGCCTCCCCATGCAATAAAAATGAGACATTTAATCTCATAATGCAACTTCTCACTGGAAATCAATGATAAAGTACATTATCTTGCCTGGCCTGATCCGGTGGCTCCAGCCTGACCTTTCTCAAGCGCAGCGAAGTCGGGGGAGAGACAAAGGTTGAACTGAAGGAGCTTCCCAGTGGGAAAGCGTGAAACTTTCCTGTGCCTCGGGAGGGACCAGGCTGCACAACAGCGATCTGACACAGTTTGGTCTCACTCATGCCCCTGTGCTCTCTCCATGCAGGATAAAGCAATGTGTGAGCAGTATGACTGCAGAGCAGGCTGATTTCAGCATCATCTTCATTCTGAAGGCTACGACCCCATTCAGAGCATTCTGAAGGTTATGACCCCATTCTGCTGGTGTCACTGCCCGCACAGTCCTGGCTTCATCAGCCCTGGATTTGTTCCTGGGGGGTTTCTTATTAGGAGGCGGACCCTGCTCCTCTAGTTCCTTCGGGGCAGTGTTTATTCCAGAGCTGCAGAAGGCCAAAGCAAACTCCAAGAGGGGAAATCAGTGACTTCTCAAGCCCCCATGGGAGTGACAGCAGCCGTTTCACTGTTCCTGTTGCTGAATGAGACCCTCTTCCAATGCTGCTCCATCGATGGCATCCCCTTTTCCAGAAGAAGGATTTGCCCAGATCTCTGTAACTCCCAGAGTAGCAGGGAAAGGCTGTGCCGAGGGAAAACCCATTCCACGAGATACTGCCAGGTGAGGATTTCTGCTGTGGTCAGGAGAAGACCTTGGAACCAGCCAAGGTCAACCCACTACAAGGCCCAAAGAGGACAGGGCTGGCAGAAACCACACCAGGGAAGTGCTGAGAGCTGTTCTTACTGCAGGGGTAGAGATGGCCCCCCTGCCCCAGACAGCCCCAGCAACAGGGAGGGTGAGATCCCATCCATATGGAGATCCCATCCCTGCATATGTAGGTAGTGCTTTGAGAAGGCTGTGCTCTACCATCTCCACCCGAGCACTGCTGGCTACCATCACAGACACACGTTTGGAAACAAACTGTGGAGGATGCAGGTAGTCCATGACCATCTAAGATGGATGCTGCTGCTAAAGGAAACTGTGCAAGTAGCTTATGCTCATCTTCACCCATGGTTGGAGAGCACCTCCCAGGGGTTTGCATGCTTGAACCTGCACTGGCATGTTGGTCCGCAGTTGCACAGAGCAGCTGGCTTTGGATAACACTCCACAGAATCAGCTTAATGCTCCAAATATTACCTGGGGACCCCAGAATTTGACTTGCAAGGTCCCAGAATCCCTCCTAAAAGATGTGGGAGAAGCATCCAGTGATGTGATCAGCGTAAGATCTCCTTGCTCTGTAATGGAATGAACAGGAGCTCCACTGGCAGCACTGTGTCCTGTCTTCAAGGCAGGATGTCATCGCTGATGGGTGGAAAAAATCACCAGCAGCTGGATGGGGCAGCAGGTGACGTGTATGTTCTCTGTCATGTCCCCACGCTGCCCAGGGTCGGGGGTCTGACAGCCCCGTTAGCGGGACTGCAAACGACACTGTGGAGAACATAAACCAGCCACATTCCTCCAGCCCTGATTTAGGAGGCTGCAAGCACTGCGATGTCAAACGGTGACCCACTGACAGCTGGTGCCGCTGGTGATGGATGCCGGAGCCTGGATTTTTTTCTTCAATAACAACTTTCACTAATGGTGCTGGCACGGAGGCTCGGCAAGGAGGAGGGAGGTGGCAAGCGTCCAGGGTGAAAGAGTTCAGGATGACAGCGGGGAAGGGCACCCTGTCCCTCCTGCTGGGCATGGAAGTGCAGAGGACAGGGGCTGGAAGGGGCTCCAGGAGGGCAGCGAGTGATCCCCTGCTCCGGGAGGACATCAGCTCCGCCCGGAGCGCTCTCTGCAGACATCCAGACATCTGCTCATCTTATTTTTAAACTCCTCCAGGGAGGGGGCTGCCACAAATCCCCAAGCAATCTGTTCCGGTGTATTCACTGTCTTCACGGTTTAAAAGTTTTTTTTCTTATGTCCAATTCAAACCTCCTTTGCTGCAATTAAGGCCCAAAGTGTCTTGCCCTCTCCGGGGAGAGAAGTGAGGAGGCGTGAAGAGGGATGCAAGCCTGCTCGTTGGTTTGTTTTCCTCAATTGTTTTATTCCCAGTCAAAAGAAGGAGAGGTTTTTTCTCGAAGGAGATACTATCTCCTGCAACATGCAACTCGGAGAAACATCTTTCTATTTTTAAAAGAGAAAGAGAAGGGCTATATAAAAGCTCAGGAAACCAGTCATGAGAAACAGGGTCTTCACTTTGTGGGCTCAACCTCCTTAATTCCCCTGAGCCTCCGAGGGGACCTGTCCAGAGGGCATCAATGTTGGGGGGCTCTGCTCGCTGCCCCCCACGCCAGCACAGCACTGGTGGGTCCCACGTCCCCCCACACCTGCAGCATCTGACCAAGATGTCAGAGAAATCAACAGAAACGCTGAACCTGGTTATTTTGTTCCTTTCTGCCCTCCTAAAATAACACCGGACACAACAGATGGGCTGGAAAAAGCAGAGAGAAGACAGATAATGGGCACCGCAGCCTGTTCCTCAATGGATGGAGCAGGGGAGGGGAGGGATGCCCACCCAGGGGTGGCACCACAGGGTGGTGGTGGCCTGCACAACCCAAAGGTCCCTGCTTCCAGGCAGGACAGGCGGCAAGGACGCTGGCACAAGAAGCTCCTCTGGCCCAGGAGCACGCTGCCACGTGCAGCTTTGGGGAAAAGCACCATTATTAATGTCACCAGCGTGGGACAAAGCACAGCCTCGCTAGGGCTTGCCTGCAGGATGGGGGTGCCAGCTCCAGCCCGGTGCTGCCAGGCACGGTGGGCTCAGGGCATACGGGAGCCAGTCCCGGTGTGAACGGGAACGGGTGCTGGTGCCCACGGGAGCTGGGGCCTGGAGCAGCCGGTGCCCGGTGCCCACAGGAACTGGTGCCCAAAGCAGCCAGTGCCCACAGGAGCCGGTGCCCAGGGACCTGGTGCCCACTGGAGCTGGTGCCTGAAGCAGCTGGTGCCCACAGGAGCCCATGCCCGGTGCCCATAGGAGCTAGTCCCAGGGATCTGGTGCCCATATCTCATGGTTTAAGCTGGTACTTCAAACCGGGATACCACAGGAGCTGGTACATGGAGCAGCTAGTGCCCGGTGCCCACAGGGGCTGGTGCCCAGTGCTCATAGGAGCCAGTACCCATGGGAGCTAGTCCCAGGGATCCGGTGCCCACAGGAGCTGGTATGTGGAGCAACCAGTGCCCGGTGCCCACAGGGGCTGGTGCCCAGTGCTCATAGGAGCCAGTACCCATGGGAGCTAGTCCCAGGGATCCGGTGCCCACAGGAGCTGGTATGTGGAGCAACCAGTGCCCGGTGCCCACAGGACCCAGTGCCTGGAGATCTGGTGCCCACAGGAGCCAGTACATGGAGCAACCAGTGCCCGGTGCCCACAGGGGCCCGTGCCTGGTGCCCATAGGGGTCAGTGCCTGGTGCCCATGGGAGGTAGTCCCAGTGCCTGGTGCCCATGGGAGCTGGGATGTGGAGCAACCAGTGCCTGGCGTCCACAGGGGCCGGTCCTGGTTCCCAGAGGGGCCAGTGCCCGGTGCCCATAGGAGCCAGTCCCAGGGATCCGGTGCCCACAGGAGCTGGTACGTGGAGCAGCCGGTGCCCGGTGCCCGCAGGGGCTGGTCCCCAGTGCCCAGAGGGGCCAGTCCCAGGGATCCGGTGCCCGCAGGAGCCGGTACATGGAGCAACCAGTGCCCAGTGCCCGCAGGAACCAGTGCCCGGTGCCCGCAGGAGCCGGTACATGGAGCAACCAGTGCCCGGTGCCTGCAGGAACCAGTGCCCGGTGCCCATAGGAGGCGGTGCCCGGTGCCCATAGGAGCCAGTCCCAGGGATCCGGCGCCCATAGGAGCCGGTACGTGGAGCAGCCGGTGCCCGCAGGAGCCGGTGCGCGGTGCAGCCGGATCCCGGAGCGCAGGGTCCGGCAGCCGGTGCGCGGTTCCCCGGGCGGCGCTGCGCGGTGCCGGTGCGCGGAGCGGGGAGGGGGGG